TTGCCTGTAGTCTTTACATTTAAATACTATTTATATAATAATATAACATTAATATTACATGTTTCAATATTATTGTGAAATGTGAAGCTCTGTATCGGGGAAAGGGGAATGTGAGAAACAAATGCTATTTATTTTAAAAAAATATTTTATATACAATTTGCTGTATATATGAATTTACATTCTCTATATTAGTTTTCATTATTTTTGTTTTTATTATTTTAAATGTCTACGCATAGCCATTTCTGAAACACGAATCATTTTAAGATCAAAAAGAACTTAAAACAAACTACAATTTCTCATTTATTTGCTCCAAGGATTAAGATAAACGCTGCTTGGCGCCCCCTGGCGGGCGTCAGAGGAACCGCAGCGGAGGACCGTGAACGGGACGCCGGGGTTCTAAGCATCCATCTTTGCCTTGATTCCTCCTCTCCGGCTCAGACGCTGTTTGATCGATTTTACGGTTTATTTGTGTTTTTCGTCGCGCAGATGGCGTCTAATGGTAAGAAACACCGCTACGTGCTCGGACTCTGTCAGCTGCCGGTGACGAGACGTCAGCTAGCAGCTAGCGGCTAATATATGTGTTTAGATGACAGCGAGAAGCCGTGGTGCTATTTATTTTATTTCATTTTCACATTGGAATTATTTACCGTCTTATTGCGCTGTTTGTCCGGTCAGAAGAAAACATCACCAGCTAACGTTGGCTAGCACTGACACGCGTGTTGGTTCCACAGAAGAACCCTGCAGCGGTTTGTTTGTTAGCCTTTAGCTTGCTGTTAGCCTGTTAGCTCGCTTGTGCTACTGACCCAGTTTGTGGTGATGGCGGCCCCGCCTCTCAGGACACTGGCTGCGGACAGGACACGCTCTGAGGAAGTCTGGACGGGGAAAGTGGAGAAATCACCCTTTTTTTGTGGTTTTACAAAACTATATATACGTTTTGAGATCTCTCCATTGATCCAGGCTAGATTGGAATATTTGTAATAATTTAGGATTTGAACCTGCTGTGATGTAAACTAGATGCTAGAAAAAACTCGGAATTTTCCTTTTTTCATATTTTCATAAATGGAGTAAAGGTTGTACAAAATTTAAACTGTGTCTTAAGCCGTCATAAAATCCACCCTGTTCATCTAATCCAGATTTGACAAATCTAAATATAGTAGCCTTTCATGCAATAATATAAAGTCTAGATGTAGAAAAAAGAAAAAAAAAAAGGTGAAATTTCCTCTTTTGTTGTGTTTTCACAAATAATATTGGGTTTCCACATCTCTGAAAAGTTTTTTTAATACATTCTCAGGCTGTTCTGTGTTAGTCGACCTGCTGTGTTGTGTCACAGATGTATTTTAAACTCTCTCCATTGATCCGGTCCAGATTTAACAAGTGTAGGTGTAGTAGTTTTTGATCCTGAACAAGTTTGACGTAGTCTAAAAGATCCAAACCGTTTGTAATTTACTCTATGCAGATAATTCACAGATTTATTTATTTTTACACAAATAAAATAATTTTTCACATCCAGGATCCCTTTGAGAACCATAAATTGGTCAGAAAATGGATGCTTGGTCTGTTAATTGCTCACCTTTTTGTATATATATGCTAGAAGATGACGGCACTATTTTATGACATAATATAACAGATATTTAAATATGTCTTAAATACTTGGGTTGCTAGATCACACTTTATGTTTCCGAAACAAAAACAAGCATCCCACGAATGACATTTCTTGATTATTATCCTTAAAATGTTGTTCTATTTCAATGTTAACACTGTGCTTTGTTTTTTTCACAGATTATTCCCAAACATCGAGCCAGGGGTACGTGATGTAATTCATACATTCACTCAAACACATTGTTTAGGGATTAGTAACGCCCAGTTATGAACTATTTACGTGCTGAACTGGATTAAAACAAGAAAAGTGAACTGTAAGAGTCAGAATTTCTACATATGGAAGAATCTGTACAATATCAGCAGTACTTATGTGTATTTATGTTTATTTTTATGTTTCTACTGATGTTTTTCCAGTTTCCCTTTTACTGTTGTAACACTGTAATTTTCCTCATGGTGGGATTAATACTAGATTACTTTAGATGATCTCTACTGAAACCTTGTGTATATTAATACAAGTAAATTTACTTGTAGAGCCCATTTAAAAGTAAAATTCCATTCAAGAGATGTAAATAGTCAAAAAAAAAGGCAAACAAATAAGATATAAGTACATTTAAAAGTGTGTAACAGAGTGAAAGTGTTCATTCTCAGTGCATAACATTTGTCAACAATGTTTTCTTGGTTGGCGTGTGCAGCTATGGCTCCTATGGTGGAGGAGGTGGAGGTGGTGGTGGAGGTGCTAACCAGGGCTACGGTCAAGCTTCTGGGCAGAGTTACAGCCAGCAGGGCTATGGAGGCTACAACCAGAGCTCCGACAGCAGCTCCGGTTCCTACAACCAGGGAGGTTACGGCAGCTACGGTCAACCACAGTCAGGTAGTGGAAGACAACAATAATAACAATAGTCAGTTTTTTTTCCATTTTGTGGTGTGCTTATCTCTAATTCCATGTTGTTTCTCCCAGGAGGATATGGTTCTCCACCCTCTAACCAGGGCGGTGGTGGCTACAATCATTCCAGTCAGTCCTACAGCTCCGGAGGATACAACAGCAGCAACCAGCCATCCAACATGAGCTACAACCAGCAGTCGTCGTTCTCTGGTTATAGCCAGCAGCCGCCTCCATCTTCATCCTCTGCAGGGTGAGACACCACCAGCCTCTGATTCTACACTCTTAGTTTACTGGCTTAATCCTCATATATGCAGAAGAAGTGTTTCTGGCTATACAAATATTCACCCACTTGGAAGTTTCCCCCCTTCAACAACTTTCAACCTTGAAAGAAGCCCAAATTAAATTCAAAAATTTGAAAAAAAATTAAAAAAAAAAGACTGATGTCAAAGTGAAAACAAAGTAATGTCAGTTTATCAAAAATGTAAAGGGGGAGAATAGATGATTACAGTCAGTATTTAGTAGAGGCACCTTTGGCTGCAGTTACAGCATTGAGCCTGTGTTGGTCTCAATCAGCCTGAACATCTGGATGCTGCTGTTTTACCTCATTCTTCTTTGCAAAAATGTTCAAACTCTGTCAGGTTACACAGGGATCATGAGTAAACAGACCTTATCAACTCCAGACACAAATTCTCATTTGGATTGAGGTCTGGGTTCTGACTCGGCCACTTCAGCACATTCACCTTGTTGTCTTTAAACCACTGAAACAAATCTTCTCCCAAGTTACACTTCTGTTACAGACTGCATCAGGTTGTCCTCCAGGGTTTCTCTATACTTTACTGGCTTCACTTTACCCTCTACCTTTACTAGTCTGGTAGGGTCTGCTGTCAAGAAGCATCCCCACATCATGATGCTGCCACCTCCATGCTTCACAGTGGGGATGGTGTGTTTGTGATGATGTGCAGTGTTTGGCCTTTGACAAACATAGTGTCTAATCTGACTGACAAAAAGCTCAATTTTGGTCTCATCAGACCAAAGAACCTTCTTCCAGTTGACTTCAGAGTCTCCCACATGTCTTCTGGTGAACTCTAGTCCAGATTTAATATGAACTTTTTTCAACAGTTTCTTTCTCTTTGTCACTCTCCCATAAACCTTTGACTGGTGAAGAACAGACAACACTTATAAGTAGTTGTAATAAGTTGTCTGACCAGTCTCAGCTGCTGAAGCTTGTAACTCCTTCAGAGGAATCATAGGTGTCTTGGTAGCCTCAGTCACTATCAAATTCTACAGATGTGCTAAGATGCAGCTGCTGTGTTTCTAGTATTTTAATGCTTCTCTTCTCCGCCTTTCACAGCTATGAAGGCAACTCTCCAGCCTCCGGCTACAGTCAGCCACCAAGCAGTGGGCAGAGTGGTGGAGGTTATGGCAGCAGTGGAGGTCAGCCTGGTGGCTACGGAGGCAGTGGAAGCCACCAGCCACCATCTCAACATGGAGGAGGTCACTACAACCAGCCGCCGAGCTACAACTCTCCTCCTCCACCAAGCTACAGCCAGCAGAGCCCGTATGGTCAGAGTGGAGGTGAGGGTGAAGGTAGCTTTGTATGTTTTGTTTGTTTCCTGTGCCAAATTCCACTACTCAGTCACATTTTTTCCTCACTGTGGTTCCATTTTTCACTGCAATTTAAAGTCCTGCACCTCTTTGGAAACAGAAAAGCCGTGAAGAAGGAGAGAGAACTCAGAAATGTTTTCACCATGCCGAATGTATCTTCCCACAGCTTGTTCCTCCTGTACACTGTTCTGCATTTATTATACTGATCCAGGATGTTTAATTTTCCTCTCAGTTTCTTTTGTCGTCCCCTGTTTACTCTGTGGAAACACTTCCCGCAGTTCAACCGAAAACTCCCAGAATTTTTGTTGCATGACTGTTGGTCAGCTGAGTGAGTCGTGGAGAATTAATTTTTATTGAGGAACTCAGAATGTTTTGTTTATTACAGGATCTGGTTGGAGAAAGGTGTACATATTTGCCAGATTATTAATTAATTTTCTATGGACTGGGATGTCACACATGATATGTTCAAAGTTTTTATCGTTTCTGGTTAATATATAGTTTCATTTTGGTGGTTAAGAAAAAAAAAAAGCACCTATCAAAACTGCCGGTGGGTTTTGGGATTCAGGGTGTTAAGATGCTTTCAAGTTTTCTATGAATCTTGTTAAAGTCAGTGTCAATCAACACTTTCCTGTGCTTTAAATCAGATTTTTTATAAGTTCTTTAAGTATTACACTTGCTAAAAGCTCATTTTTGTGGTGAAATTCTCCAATTTTTGAATCTGACCCCTGAATTAAATTGGATTTCATGTTTTTACGGTAACTTTCCTCTCAAACATGCCGATAGATTCTGGGATTCAGATGATTAACCCAAAGATGTTGCACCGATTTTTGCAGCGATTTAAAAACAACTACAAAATCCAAATGGGGGTGACATTTTGAGATCTAATTTTCTGAACGTTCTCTCAGGATATGGAGATGAAAGCCCGCCGATGAGCGGAGGAGGAGGAGGAGGAGGAGGAGGAGGAGGTTACAGCAGTCCTGATGGAGGTTACGGAGGCCAGGAGGGCCGTGGTGGAAGAGGACGTGGAGGTGCGTTTGGAGGTCGCGGTGGCGGCGGATATGATCGCGGTTTTGACCGAGGCGGCCGAGGTGGACCAAGAGGAAGAGGAGGGATGGGGTAAGTGTTTAAATATCACCATTTCTGTGTTAGTAGGTGTCTGGAGTCCACTGACTCAGTACTGTAATACATGTAAATGTCAGGATTCACACGGAGCTATACATGTAGACGGAGAGAAGGTCGTGATCCATATTTCTACACTGAAAAGAAGGTCATCGAGGGGAAATTTCCCATCATCCCTCATGCTTTGAAGGGAATGTAATCCTGGGTGTTGCTAAATTACCACAAAGCACTTTGTTTTCTGTCTGCAGTACCGACTGCACAGGTCTTGGTTTCCTTTTAAATGGCACCTTTGATCGGTGAACATACAAATACAGAAAAGTCCTGTGCAGTAACATTGGGTATGTGTCCGCTGACGGTGGAAAACATGAAATCGATAATGGTCAAGTACCAAAAAATACCAGAGCAAGAATCATTATTATTGGTCCCAAAATCTACAATCAATACAAGCTGCTAATATAGGATGAGGGGAAGATAAAATCATCATCCAGGCCTTGTCTGAGTACATTTTATTACCACTGAGGGATTTTATTTGTCCAATCACATGCTTGTTAAAACATACCTGTGAGTTCACGCACAGAAGGAGTGTTTATTAGACCTAACATGAGAATAATCAGTTCTTAAAATTTGAAAGTTTACATTGGTTGTTTGGTATCGATGCCCAGATTCATAGTGCCGACACCCAACCGGTCACTGCCTGGATACTGAGACTGCATGATGTAGTACAAATAAATATCATTATTACAAAAAAACAGATAAAGATTAATGACAAAAAAAGTAAAAATGCATAACACAGTTCAGTAATAATAATACCATACAAGGTCTGTAAATAATTTAAATTACTGCTCACTCTACTAGATGCATCATATCTACTGTTGGAGGATCACCTCTCAGGTGTTTGATCAGATCACATAAAATGCAATCGGCTTACAAAAGGAAACTGTACAGGTACTAGACATGATCACCTGTGTTCAAGCACAGCATCAAGACAGTGTTTCAAACACTGTACTGTGCTGTAAACTGGATAAATGCCGCAGTTAACAAAATATCATGTGGATGTTTATCAGATGGAAGTTTTTGCTATTGGATCATCATAAATTTAAGGTTCTTGGGTTTGAATGCTGGTCAGAAAACAACCATGTCATCAAAGTCTACATTATGATTATTACCACCAAAGGCACAATTATTTGAAGTCACAGTTAATGTGCAATATTGACTCGTATGCATCCTGAAAAAAGGTTCCTTGAATGAAGTGCTGCAGCGTGAACCTGAGTAAATGACAGTGTTGGGTCAAGTAATTACGATTAAATGAATTACTATATGTATTTCTGAAATCCTGCAAAATTCTTCAAAAACTATGAGGCCACTGTCAGGTGCAGACATAAAATACAGGTTAATCCTAACAGGTGATACAGTCCTTGTAAAAAGTATGAAAAGTAAATCCTGGCGGACATCCTGATGATGAAGGGGGTGAAGATTTTTTATAGGTACTATATAGAGCTCATCTGGCCTGGGAGTACCTTACAGCCCCAAGGAGAAGCTGGAAAGTGTTTGTGGAGAAACGGACTTCTAGAATGTCCTGCTTCACCTTAGAGCAAGAAAATGAACAGATGGATGGACAGCAGGCTAAAATACATGAGAATTTCCTTTAAGAAAGAAAGACAGAAAAAGTTTACATACGCTTGTAAAGGCCATGTTTATCATGGCAGACTTGAGTTTCCAATGACCCCTTTAACTAATTTTCTATGGTGAAATCACTGAAATACATGGATCTTTGTCACAAAAAACAATCATGTATTTTGATTCTTTGATCATTTTATTAGAGGTTGTATTAGAAAGAAGTTCTTCCTCTAGAAGCAACACATTAAAGCTCAACTGATGTTTGCTGCTGATCACATGGACAAAGAAAAGACCTTCTGGAGGAAAGTTCTGTCGTCAGATGAAAAAAAAAATAAATCAAGCTTTTTAGCCACAATGACCAGAAATATGTTTGGAGTCGAGAAAGTGAGGCCTTTAACCCCAAGAACACCAAACCTACTATCAAACACGGTGGTGGCAGTATCATGCTCTGGGACTGTTTTGCTGCCAGTGGAACTGGTCTTTTCATAAAGTAAATGGAATCATGAAGAAGGAGGAGGATTACCTCCATATTCTTCAGGAAAACCGGAAATCATCAACCAGAAGGTTGGATTTTGGACACAGTTGAGTGTTTCAACAAGACAATCGCCTCAAACACACATCAAAAGTGTTTAAAGAAATGGTTAAATCAGGCTACAATGAAGGTTTTAGACTGGTCTGCCCAGAGTCCTGACATCAAGAACCTGTGGACTGTGATGAAGAAACAAGTCTGTGTCAGAAAGACTACAAATTTAGTTTAACTGCACCAATTCTGTCAAGAGTAGGGTCAAGGATAAAGAAAAATTCACGAGTGTTATTGTTTGTTTGTTTGCTTGTAAGTAACAAAGACCCATGTGTTTCAGTTGTTCCATCATAGAACATTCAGAGTTATTGGAGTCATTGGAAACCAAAGACTGACATAATGCTGCTCATGACTGTATAGAAATGCAGTAATACAGAGAAATAGATGATGGGTCGGGACAAAAGTATACAAAACCAACAAATTATTGAGAACAGAACAGAGACAATTCGCAGAACAAAGATTTTGCAAGAACATCGTGACTGAAAGATTGAAGCAGAAATCGTTATGGTAAGTTAATGGGTTTGCTTCTAGAGCTTTATTATGTATCGTGTACTTCTTTGTAACCTCATAATGTCGGTGACAAACTGCCATGTCATTGTGTGTTCTTTCATCCATTATGCACTTAAATCTGCTTCCCTGTTGAGTCATCACAGTATCCTTTAATCAGGCAGGTAGAACTGTGCACTAATTATCTGAGTGTTGGTTAACAAAAACATTCTCAAAGTAGCATTTGGGTGATGTTGGTTTAAAGTTTGAGAATGGAGGAACGTGCAAGTGTGTGTAAGAAGCAACTGGTGCTTGTGTTTTTATACCAGATATGACGTTCTGGTATAAAGAAGTAAAGTATTCAGACCTCTTTGCCTTTCGGCCACTTTACTGGTATAAAAGTAATTTCAAATTGATAAAATTGAGCTTTTCCCATCAATTTACACTCAATAAATCGTAACGATGAAGTGAAAACAGCACAATGAAGTGCAAGAAGTGAAGGAATCTGTATACTTTCTGAAGAAACTCGACTGTTTCAACCGTTTTTAGTGTAAAATAAAGGCAACGGTGTAATTCAAGCACGAATTGGGCCAAAACTGAAACTATTTGATAGATCATTTTGCTTTACAAAGAATCCAGCTAATCTGCCCAGTAAACCTCCACAAGCTTCACAGTTCAAAGCCAATTTGGTGTTTTTCCTCTTCACGTATGTCTTTTTCTCTACAACAACTTGCTAAAAATGTGTTTCCACTGCGAATAAACTGTGGCCTTCCCGACTAACCGGCCACAGTATTTTCCCATCGCCTGCCTTCTCACCATCACCCTCCCAAGCAGCCCTTACAGGATCACTGTGTCATACTCTGCTTTAATCAATCTTTGAATCTTCTCCTAGGCTTTTACCTTCTTCTCCACGCTGGCTTTCTGCTCTTAAGCCATCATTAGAGGAAACTGTAACATGGGGAAGCCTACAGACAGTTAATAGCGTTATTTAAGTTGGAGGAAATAATAATTAAAACGCAAATAATTTGGGAGAAAAGCCTCAAACACCTGGGATGTGCTGCAATTTGTGTAAAGGTTGTCTGAGACCAAAAAAACAGTTCAAAGCACCCACAGAGGGGTCAAAGGTGTTAATGTTTGGGTTGGTTAATTGACAAAAAAAGCACAAAAGTTGACATAAATGGTACATACAAGTTTATAGAACTTGTGGGTAGAAAACTTCCGTGTGTCAAGACGAGGTCTTTAAAGTGGCCTCTTGTCCTTGAGGTGTTTTAATGAGAATGGAGGGTTCATAGTGCCAATGAAGAGGGGTGGGTTTACCGAAGAGACTGAAGGTTACCCACAACCCAACAGAGAAATCGCTGTCAGCTCCAGCCTTCAATGCGTTTTTCTCTTCCTCTTCATCAGAATGGGCGATCGTGGAGGATTCAATAAGTTTGGTGGTAAGTGACAAAAAAATAAAACTCTTGAGAGAAAAGGTTTGTTGAGTTTGAGGAGTCAAAGCTAAAGGGAAGGGAGCTGGAAGGTGGTTGAAGTGTGTGGTTTATACTGCTGCAAACGGAGAGAAACATGCTGATGAGATGAGCAGCACATTAAGGTTTCCAAATGAGAAACATGAATACAACAGTGGAGGGTGAAACGTTGGGCTGTACAGGTAAGAACAGTGTGTTTAGATGTGGAGTGTGGTTCAAAATGCCCAGAAGAGGGAGTTGTCGGCTTCATTATATCTTAAAAATGCAGTTCTGCTGCTCCTCAGGCTTCCATCTTTGGTATTTCAGGGTGTGTGAATGTTGTTGATGGAAGTCTTCGCTGGCGTTGGGGAAATTTATTGCCGATGTTTGATGAATGCAACAAAAGAATTGAGATAAGACAAGTGTCAACAATTTTAATATGATGCAGATTAACCCTCTGAACTCCAAAATCCTCAGATAGGTTTAAAATGTTTATTTTCTTTGCTTTTTTTTAAGCAAACTGTAAGAACAGAAAAAGTCACAATTTTTAGCTTTCCAGGAGTCTTCAAAGTTGTCATGAGTGATGGACGTGTCTGTCAAAAAATCCCATTATTTTGCATGTCTCAAAAATAATCAAAGATGAACAGTTTGCACCAGATTCTGGATAAAACAAAAAATTCTGCGCTCTTCAATGCATCCAAGAAACCATGGCTGACTCTGTGAAGCTGTGACGTGAGGAAAACGAAGAATACACAGAAAGATTTATCAGATTTTCAACTTTCTGATGGTTTTGAACAAAACGTGTGACATGTGGTTGTCAGAAAAAGAAACAAAACAAGTCTAACCTTAAAATCATTCTACTCTGTCTAGTTTGAAAGCTACCAAAAATTAATTTCTCTGCTCAGATTCTGTAAAAAACAAACAAGCAAACAAACAAAAAAACCCCCCAAACAATTCAGAGCTCTACACAACTAATTCTCCATGCCTGCCTGACTCAACTTTGACCAACATTCATGTGACAAAAATTCAGAGAGTTTCCAGGTGAACTGCCGACAGTGTTGACACAGAACAGAGAGGAGACAACAAGAAAAAAATTAAACATACCGGATGAATAGAATAATTGCAGCATGGCTCAAAAACAGTATACAGAGGAGCAAGTTGCTGGAACATACATTCAGCATGGTGAGACATCTTTGAAAGACACCAAATGAAATGACACCAAAACAAGAAAAACTGTCACGTTTTCAACCTTGAATCATGTGTGACTTCTGGTTCAGTTTCCTTTAACCACATTCTTTAAAACACTAAAGAATCTTAGCTCTTTGCAGCAACTACGAAGTCGTGACTGACTCAGCTGTGACCAACAGTCAGGTGACAAAAAGTGTTTTCAGGTGAACTGCAGGAAGTGTTTCCACAGAGCAGAGAGGAGACAAGTATGGAAACAAAATCAAAATGTAAATAGTTAAATATCCATCACATGTGGATGAAGCTACATGGAGTTCAGAGGGTTAAACAGATAAAATTACCATTTATGTTCTGAAGTCGGAAGAAATTGTCTTTATTTCCTGCTACTAACACAGCAGTAAAACCTGAAGGATGTTTCTGTTGTGCTTTTCAAAGATGATTTATACAAACTGGTTGCACAGCTGGGACATACCAGTTCCCGAACATACTGTGCTGTAAATGATGTAAGGCTTGTGGTCCGTTGGAACAATAGATCTATTGTCATCAATCACAAAGCAGTAATTCTACAGAACTGTTTACGGTTTACGGTTGGAAGGTTTGAAGAGTAACCTGTGGGGCAGATGAAGTCAACATTATTCAGCTTGAAGTAGCTTTTGAAAAAGAAGTGGAGTTGGTTCAGGTGCACTTGTGTTGTCATTCATGTCTGCAATAGTTGTGTCAAAGTGTACAGCATTTGTCAAAGACATTGTTTGTTGCTGGAAACATCTGCAGGAAGACTTATTTTCTGGACTCATCGGTTAGTTGTTGGGTCTATAAAAAGTGACAATTGAAATACTTTTATATGTTACAGCTCACTATTTTGCAAACATTTTTTTCTTCTTTTTGGACTTTTTATTGCCTTTTTTCCCCCTCCACAATTGTGTCAGTCAGGGCTGCAAAGGTTTAAAAATCCACCGAAAACTCTAAAGATAATTGATCGATAAACCACCTAAATTTGCTTTTCAAGCAAACTGTTGATGGTTTTGATGGTTGCAGCATTAAATTGCAGGAGGAGTAAAAGCAGCATTTTCCATCCATCCATTATCTACACACCGCTTAATCCTCACTAGGGTCGTGGGGGGCTGGAGTCTATCCCAGCTGACTCAGGGTGAAAGCAGGGGACCCCCTGGACAGGTCACCAGTCTATCACAGGGCTACACTTAGAGACAGACAACCAAGCACACTCACATTCACACCTACGGACAATTTAGAATCACCAATTAACCTCAACATGTTTTTGGACTGTGTGGGAGGAAGCTGGAGAACCCAGAGAGAACCCACGTTGCACGTGTCCTGAGTCAGCCCTCAGTTTACTGTCAGAAAATATTCACATTTAAGAACCTGCGATCACAGTTTAGACCTTTTTTTTCCCTTAAAACTTTACAAAAATAGATTATCAGAATAGCTGCTGATGAATTTATTGGTTGATAACTAGTAATTAATTGTACCAGTTCTACTTGAGATTAAAAAGAAAATCAACTTTCATTAACTGACAGACAGAAAATGAGTTGCTAAAGGAGATCTGAGTTATTCAAAGGGAACTTTATAGTTGTGGATTGATGAAAAATGCTAAGTAAATGTAATACTGTTGCTTTTTAGCCAAAAAATGTCATTTTAATTTAAAAGCTGTCAAGTTGTCATTTAATTGTTTAGCTCTCCTGTGTACCTGTCATTGTATATGTCGTTAGTAATGCTGATTAAAGACAAAGGGTTGTTGCACAGACAGACAAAATATCTAAGAATCATTAGAATTAGAGAGAAATTTGTCATGTAACTGTGAAAGATGTGTCTTTTGCAGTTTTTAGTGTATATACAGCTAGACTGTTATAAAATCTTGTATATGTAAATATTCTAAATGTGTCAAATGAGGCTTAGGACGTGGAGAGGTCAGAGGAAAAAATCCTCTGATTTTTCTGGTGTTGTGACTGCAGATGTTTTTGCCTGAATGTTGAAGCTGGAGAAGTGTATTTCTGGGTTGGTGAAGCTCCTCCATTATCCTCCAAGTTCTGGTCCTGAGTGTAGATCTGATGGTGTATTGCTCTGTGGGGCAGCTGATGATGCCTCCTGTTTGATTGGAAGCTATTTTAGACTCCCAGAGACACATGAGCAACAGAAACATCATAAAAAGGAACAAATCACCAAACCGAGGGAAGGCCAATGTGAGGAAATCCCTTCATAGCAAAAGTTTTGGGCAGAGTTTCTAGTCGTAAAGTTTTTGTTTGAGCCAAGTTGGAATCTTGCCATTGCATTGAAAATCCTAAATAGTTTGTGCCTAAAAATGTATACAAACTAATAAAAGATGTGTCAAATTATGTATTCCAAAGCATTCATTTAGTGTGAGGGACAGTTGGAAATTAATTTATGAATAAATGAGTTTAAAGGTCAGTTTGGGCTTTCTGCAGGCCTACAGGGTCTATGTTACGAAGATTTCATCATCTGCTGATCTAAACTTGTTAAAATTGAAGGCTTGTTGTTGTTATTATGTCGAGAGACTATGAGTGAAGTTTCATCCACACCCTTTATAAGAGTCGAAATTAAAGTAAACGCTGCAGGACTGGATGGGCTTTGATTTGTATATGCTTTCCATCGACGATGCCCAAACACAATAGGAAGTTCTGAATTCTCCAGAAGTCCTGTGCTACGTTCGACTGAACCCGAGTGTGACAGATATTGCAATTTGATTTGTGATACGATCTTTTACAGTCAAACTTCAGTCCAGTGAGCATTACCGTAATATATCATCAAAAGTGTCACACAAAAGGAACAGTTTGAATTGTAAAACCACTGACGCGACAGTTTAAACCCCGGGTCAGACATGCTGCATCATGTTCAGTCCTATGCCAAACCACTGTGCTTTGGACAGGAAGACAACAAACTCCAGCACACCTCAGAAATAGTTACTGTCATGATGCTTTAGCCACAACATAAAAGCCACTGATAGGTGACGCTAAAAGTATGAATTCAGTATTTTGTTGGGAAACCGTGGATCCTGCATTCATTTGGATGTTACTTTGACAGTAGCAGGAGAAAGATTGTTCTTGCATGTTTTTTTTTAAACATAGTGTCCTTTAGCTTCACTTGGTCCGCCAGTGTTCAAGCTTCACTGTCCCTTCATGGAAGACGGTCACATCTTGACCCTCCAGATACTCCTCAACAGCATGCATGACGTCTTCACGACAACAGGCACATTGTCCTGGAGCAACAGCAGCTAGCTCCGAGCTTCCCGCTTCTTTTTATTTGATTACATTGAACATTTGTGTTTTTGTGGACAGTAATATAAGGCTGTATAGTGTACAGTTATACCCAAATAGGTGAGTTAAGCCCCTTGATTCCAGGTGAGGAGTTAAGTACCGTCGTATAACCCAACATGTCAGCAGCTTTCCCCAGCAGGACGATGTTCCCTGTTGCACTGCAAAAACAGTTCAGAAACAAGGGACACAACAAAGAGCTCAAGGTGTTGACATGGCCTCCAAATTTCTCAAATCCCAATCCAGTCAAGCATCTGAGTAATGTTGAGTAGTGTTGGAACAAGCCTGATCCATGGAGACCCACTGGACCCAAAGGATCCAACGTCCCAGTCCTAGACACCGCAGGACAGCCTCTTGGTTGGTTGGTTGGTTGGTTGGTCCCAATTCCATGACTCGACAGATCAGAGTGTTTAGGCAGCACAAGAAGGACCTACACAGTGTCAGGCAGGTGGTTTTAGTGTTGTGGTTGATTGGTGTATCATGTGGCATCAATGGAGCTGCAGAAGTCAGCTTACAGAGATGCAGAAACCACAAACTGTCCCTCAGATACCTGTTTACATCTGTCACAGTGACACAGTACCGCCATGGAGAAGGTGAGTCATCTACTGCTGCTGCTGCCTGGTCAGTTTTCTGAGTTACACAGTTTAAAGTAAGGAGTCAATTTTATTGCCAAGTAGGTTTTCCCATGTGAGGACTTACACGTGGTGACTTGGTGCAAAACAGTAAGCACTGAAAAAGCAAGTGTTGCAATTCAATACACAGCAAGTTTTACGAGTCAAATCAACCGAAAGTGGAGCAAATCCAAGGAAATATAAAAGTAGTAAAAAGTAGCAATAATCTCTGAGAAATGCGTTGCCTGGTGTCACCTCTTGTCTCAGTTATTACATAAGTTGGTTGTGTTGGTGCTCAGGTGTGGTTCTTACGAATCAAGCTGTCGGTGACGCAGCATAAATCTCTAAAAGGTCACAGGACTTAATGCACCAGAGAACTTCTACAGTGTCGCGGTTAATCTCTGAAAACACTGGAGGTTGGTTTTACGATCTGTTCAGTTCTCAGAATGACAAACATGGTGTTCTTGTTCCCAAGATGTATGTTGGGGCAAACTCTTCGAGTCTTTTGTTAAGCTACGTGAAGCTGACAAAGGAATCAATGAATGACAAGGATCACTGTCAGTAAATACAGCTATTGTGTTTCACTGTGCTGGACTTGGTGCCAAGAGTTGGTAAAGTTTGTGCGAAAGGATTTGCAACAACATAAGTGCATTGAATTCAAGAGCCGACCTGCAAGGCTCCGGGTCAGATTTATTTATGGAGGTGATTACGAATGAAAAGGCGACTTTGAGATGCACAAAATCCACTTGTATGGTAAATCTTGTTTATGAGATTTAAAGATGACATCAGGCACGTGTTGAGATGATCATGAAGGCTGTGGCGTAATAATTACATGGTGGAAACAGGATGTTAAAATGTTTTGTTCAAGGTTGTTACCTGCAGAGCAACTAGAAGCTTAATGGTGCTACAGTTTGTGTCTGAACATAGTGTGAATGAAAGGAATGAGCTGTTAGAATGATGGCTATTTAAGTGGTTTAACAGCTGCTTGTTTCCACAACTAATGTCTGTTTTTGTCCTTTTAAGGACCACGAGACCCGGGACATGGACATGGAGGCCCCGGCTTCAGTAAGTTTTCTTTTGTTGCTGTACAAAGCACTATTATTATGTTATGTTTTTTTTTTTTTTTCACCTGCGTCTGACAGAACGGAAGCATAACTGGCTGCACAACAGGACATATTTCCTTGAAACTTGACAGGAATGTTTGAAAGTGATAGATTTATTGTCCTGTCTGTCTAACCTTTTAACATTTTACCTCATACAAACATCTTCTGTTACATTTTCTGACATGTTTATGAACATTCCTTGACCTTAAAGTTAGAGTTTGAGGAACAGTAAACTTTACTTTAGAAACATAACACAACCTGCCTTTAGCTTTCCCTCCAAAGCCAATGCCTGAGTGTAGTCTATGTAATACCCTAGAAAAAGATGAGGGGTGTTCCAGTGAATGGTGTGTCAAATGCAGCATGTCTAAAATACCAGGATGTTTGCAGCCAGTATGCTTTTCTGGTTATTCTTACCCACAGTCCTTAGTATGAACAAGCTTGAGCTACCTAAAGCACAATGACAGATGACATCTCATTTCACATGACAAACTGCAGCAAACAAGTGAGTGAAACTGTCAAACCTTAAGGTGCTTTGCTATGATATGTTAGTTTGAGTCAATTGCACGTGTTCTCCATAAAAAGTATGCACGTTGTACGAACAGCTGCAGTGTATACTGAAAGTAGAAATACAAAAGTGTGAATCTCCTGATCAAGTTTACTATTGTTTTTTTTTTTTTTGCCCCCGATTCAATTAGCGATATTTAGTATTGGTTATCTCCTGATTCAGAATCCCAGTCTGAAAATACACACTTCAAGTGCAATAAAGTTATTAAAATCAGTCCAGTGTATATTGACAATACAATACATCTGCAATGCATTTAGAAAAATAATAGATTTCTGTATTTAAGCTGTTTCTCAATATTGTTTTTATATTACACAATAATAAGGTAAGCCTATCAACAAACTTTCACAGGTCCACTCAGTGCAGCATCAGTTTTTTATGAACAAAATAACCAAGCACACAAAGTAAAATAAGTCATCCTAAACAGCTCTTACTATGACTTAATTTAGTGCTGCAACACAGCAGTAAAACTAGAAAATACAATCAAATTCCATTTCAGGGTAGTGTTAATCAACAGTTTAACATTCACAGTCACAATTAAAAATAACAAATTCGCTTAGTGCAGCACTATAGTAAAGCTGCTAAAAATGAACAGATCAGATTTTACCATTTACCTTTGGTTTCACTGCTGGTCAGGCTTTAAGAAAGGCTAAATCATCTGTACGTGGTGTGTTCCATCTAAAATGCAGGTTTAATAGAAGTTCACAGTGATAATTCATTTTCATTGATCAGAAATGGATCAAAGCAGTGTAGTAGGTGAACATGTGATGTCCAGTGTTGCTTTATTAACATCCCCTTGTATTGTGTCCCAACAGTGCCAGACCAGGATAACTCTGATAATAACACCATCTTCGTACAAGGCCTGGGAGACGACTACACTGTCGAATCAGTGGCTGACTTCTTTAAGCAGATTGGAATCATTAAGGTAACTCTCCACTGCTTCACACTGCTCAGATTCTAAATATATCCATCCATCATCGATACACTGCTTAATCCTCACTAGGGTTTTGGGGGGCTGGAGTCTATCCCAGCTGACTCAGGGTAAAAGCAGGGGACACCCTGGACAGGTCACCAGTCTATCACAGGGCTACACTTAGAGACAGACAACCAAGCACACTCACATTCACTTATTATGCAGATGACACTCAACTTTTGGTTTTATTGGGTATCTCTGTAGAAGTTTTGTCAGGTGTTCACCTTGCTATGTAAAGTGCCTCGAAATGACATGTTTTGTCAACTGGCAGTTTGTAAATAAAACTGAATTGAATTGTATCCTTCAGATCATTGTCTTGCTGGAAAACAAACCAGAGTTGACCAAACATATTGTCTAGTGTCACCAGATCAAAGAACTGTCTTCCAGCTGACTTCAGAGTCTCCCACATGCCTTCTGGTGAACTCTAGTTCAGATTTAATATGAGCTTTTAGCAACAGTGTCTTTCTCTTTGACACTCTCCCATAAAGCTTTGACTGGTGAAGAACAGACAACAGTTGTTGTATTAACAGTGTCTCCCATCTCAGCTGCTGAATCTTGTAACTCCTTCAGAGAAGTCATAGGTGTCTTGGTGGTCTCCCTCACTAGTCTCTGTCTTGTAATGCCTTTAGAGCAAGTGTAAGTGTCTTGGTGGCTTCCCTCATTTGTCTTTTTTGTCTTTGAGGATGTCCTGCTCCAGGTAGATTCACCCACGTGTCATATTCCTTCCATTTCTTAATATTGGATTTAAATTGATTCCAAGATATATTCAGTGACTTGGAAGTATTCATCTCCTGACTTATGCAAGCACCGAAACACATTCACTGCACTCAGATGATCTGCATATCACAAACTGTGTGACTTTTAACAATGATTTGCTGCACCTGTAATGAATTAGTTGAGTGACTTTTAAGCGGCTTAAAACCTTTAAGAAACTTTAAAGACTTGCTGACATGAAACTTGAAACCACCAAGCCACCATGCAGCCCATTATAAAATCATTATATAATTTAATGTAATATAGGAGTCTTTACCCTGTAAAATGTGAGTTTTTCAATTTTAATTTGTGTTTAACAGTCTAACAGTTATTTGGAATTTAAAGAAGTTTGACACTTAAACTGTAATTTATGTAAAATGTAAATTAATTGCAGATGCAGGTCTTCAAATTCAGTTTCAACTTGTACAACTATAACTACGTCTGTAATGGACACTGATGAATAGGTGGTATTTGTAGTTGTTTGTTTGTTTTGGTCCCTAAATCTCTTAAACAAACAATTTCTGTTTTGAAATCTAGATTAAATTCTGATTTAGAGGCACATTTTAGACACCTTGAGGCAAATTTCTGCCTGTGTTTGACATCCTCTTGGACCTGGATGGTTCCGTCTTTTGACATGATCCAGTACATGATTAAAGACCTGACTTCTGTCCATGCTCTTAGGTCAACAAGAAGACAGGCCTGCCTATGATCAACTTGTATACCGACAGAGAGACGGGGAAGCTGAAGGGCGAGGCCACAGTTTCCTTCGATGACCCTCCCTCAGCTAAAGCTGCCATTGACTGGTTTGATGGTGAGTTCTTTATCTTCTCTTTTCAGATTTAAGTTTCTGTCTTGTGCTGTTTTAATGTGTCACTGCTGGAATCCACTGTAAATTACATGCATTTAAACTTCCACACTCTGTCAGGCAGAACACTGACTTAATGTATAGTTAGTTTCCCTTTTGTTCTGTTTTATTAAGCTGGACTTGTGATCACATGATTAGTTGCCTGTTGTTTAACTTAAGCCAGAAGTCAAATCTCTGCATCATGTTTTCCTTCTGAAGTGCTGATTCGTATCTCCGCCACTTGTTGAGCTTCTATCATGTGCCACTACAGAGCTCTTATCAGAGAATCACCCAATAATGTTCAGCTTCTTTACTCAGGAGAAAGGAATCAACAGCATGATTGTAGCTGGCTGTTTGCAGCAAATTCTCAGCAGCAGTCATTTCTGACATTAAAACATCAAAAAACTGTGTATCAGCTACTTCCTGATATGGATAAACATTTGAATAATATTTAAATATATTCAAATGTCTGAATAAATTAGCTAAGAATAGGCTCATAGATAGATGTTAGAACGAGTCGGGTAGCTTAAAACATGCTAAAAACAATACATGGTTTAAATATTTAGCTAAATGTTGGCAAAACATAAATGGTATTAATAGTAACCTAAAAGTTGACTAGCAGATAAACGTTTGAAATAGTTAGGTAAAAATGGGCTAATAAATATGTTTGAAATGCTTTACGAAAAGCAGAATAAAGAAGAACTAGTTCAGTTAGTTGGCTAATAGATAAACGGTTGAAACAGCTGAAAGTCCGCTAAAAGATAAAAGACAGCGCTTCATTTCAAATGTTGGTTGTTAGCAGCCTTTCTTCTTTTCCTGTGCTGTGTTTTGTTTTCAAACACCTCCAGGATGTGTCCAATTAGCATGGTCCTAATTGTGTCACAACCAATCAGGATTTTGCTGAGTTCAGGTGGATTAGGCCAGTTTAGACAGTGCTGTTTATTTATTAATGACACAGATCACAGACCAAGTTAAGATTGTCTTCTATTGTCTTCTATTTACAACCTCAGATCACACACACTTCCAAACTTTTTGTGATTTCGTCCACCTGTATTTCTTACTTCACGTCTTTATTTTCCATCACTCCTCCAGGTAAAGACTTCAATGGAAACCCAATCAAGGTGTCCTTTGCCACTCGCAGGGCTGACTTTGGAGGCCGAGGTGGGATGAGGGGAGGTCGAGGACGAGGAGGTGAATCCTTTTCTGTATAAACTTTGAGTGAAAATTACACAGCTCTGTCAAAAACTGCAACCAAATCAGTTTTACATCCACTACAGGTGTCACAATCCGGAGACTAAATCTGGTTTTTGCTCTTCCTTTTTTCACTGTAGCCAAAGTTGAGCATCAATATTATGGGATGTAGTTATGGGATGTATCATAGTTTGAACAGCAAAACTGCAGCAGTTTAATGTCTATGACACAGAGTCATACAAACAATCATTGGTACCATGGATGTGTTTTCTGATAATTCACCAGAGAAAACATTAAAAAGTGCACTTTGGGTAAACTTTCAAGGCTCATATCAGCATTTGTGATAGAACAAGTTAGAGCAAATGAAAGGTCTCATTTTTACCTGCATTTGATACCAGGATCATCTTCTAGACATAATTCCCTCTGTGGAAAAATTATTTTGTCAAATAGTTATTATTCACACTCATAAATGTAGCTTATTCAACTGATTCTGAGGAGGTTGGGGGAGGTACTGAGATAACTGATGGAGCTGTTGGGTTTTAAACGTCTGCACTGTCATTCTGTGTACAGTATGAAGTATTTAAACAGCTCAATTAGCATCATCCCTCACTCACTGCTGTGTTCAGGGCCGATGGGTCGAGGAGGATTCGGAGGAGGTCGAGGTGGAGGTTTCCCAGGAGGCAACGGAGGCAGCGCAGGAGGAGGAGGAGGTGGTGGTGGAGGAGGAGGTGGACAGCAGAGAGCCGGAGACTGGAAGTGTTCAAACCCGTGAGTTTGGTTTGGTGATCCCATTTAATGCTACAAAATGAATTAAAAGAATAAAGCTGAATTTGATGTATTTTTTTTTCACATTTCTCTGCAGCAACTGTGGCAATCTGAACTTCTCGTGGCGTAACGAGTGTAATCAATGCAAAGCTCCTAAACCTGAGGATGCTGGTGGGATGCCCCCCATGGACAGAGGTCTGGTTTTATTAATATGAGAGAAAGACAATGGATGTGTGGATGGTTCTGCTGGCAGTTTATAATTCACCCCCTGTTGTGCTGTCAGGAGGTTACGGAGGAGATCGCAGAGGAGGGTTTGATCGCGGCGGCTTCAGAGGCAGAGGAGGCGACCGAGGAGGCTTCAGAGGAGGTCGAGGAGGCGACCGGGGAGGATACGGACCTGGAAAGATGGACGCCAGGTCAGAAATGTACGAACAGCGCGTCAGCATGCATACAGAAACATTACACAACATAGAACTTAAATCAATACTTTTTCCACTGATTAGTTTGAAATCTGAGTGTAAACCTTGTGCGTTGCCGTTCAGACAGATGTGGGTCATGTGATCGCTGTGTTGTTGTTTCCAGGGGCGACCGCCGACAGGAGCGTCGAGGCCGACCGTACTGAACCTTCCTCCGTCGCTACAAAGACCAGTGTGAGCTCCACACCGGCTTCACCTTTTCTAAACTCCGATTTAGTGTGTAGACAAATGTAACTCTGTCTGTTTTTGTGTTCGCTCTGTGACTCACTCTTTCTGCTCCACGAGGCCTCGTTTAGAAACACTAATTCTGAATCTGAAGTCTGAGACAACAAAGTTCATATAAAAGACTTTACTCTGCAGTTTAGAGGATAAATCTGGTTGACAGACAAACACAAAATATAGCTGTCAGTCTGAAATAAACCAGAATTATCCTTTAACACAAATATATCAACATTAATATGTTTATATCACAACCTGCTGCAACCAACACAAATACTAACATGTGTGTTTTGTTGAAGGAGAAACAAGCTTGTAGTTCAAACTAAAAGGCTTCATCGAACTGTTGAGGTCAGTTTTTAGGGTTTGAGGATATTTTGCGTCCATAAGGTTAAAAATACACATTGTTTTACTATAGTTAATCTATTTGTGCGTTTAGATTTCATTCATAAGGCAAATCTTTCAATGCCATTTTCTCAAAGTGAGCTTTATCCTCGTGTCACTGAAGTGAGGATTTTTGGATCAGACACCACTTTAATTCCTGTTTATATTCTGAAGGTTTTTACACACATCATATATCATTCACGGCCTGATTTATAGAACCTTTTACTCGTAAAAATATGGAACAATAGATTTTGTTCATGACAGTATTTGATAAAAAGAGAGATCCAAAGTCTCTTCTGTATAAACCTGTGATTCTGATATGTCAACAAAATGAAACAAATTCAGACTTTTGAAGCTGCTTTATCCAATGTTTGCATTTCTATTCTGGAGATGAATGCAAATGAGCACATTTTTAATGAAATAATGCTTGATTTTATACTGAAAGATAACATATCAGAAAACATTTTAAAAAACTAATAAGAAAAAGAAATCTTAGTGTAAGAAACCATATCTTTTATGGCATTTTTGCAAAAGGAGGTTTTTGAAGCTGGATTTACCCAGTGTTTAGATTTCTAAAAACAAATGCAAATTAGACTTAAACTACCGGATTTGGATATTTAAACATAAAACTTTTGTGTAATCAGCTGAGGAAGTTTCATGGTGACATCTGTAAGTTCCAACACACGTAGCAACGTCTTACATCAGTCATCTTGTGCGTGGCTGTTTGTCAGTGCGACTTTACGCATTTCAGGATGAAAGTTAAATGTTTAAAGTAAAATTGCTGTCTTGACATCAATCAGGATTCTTCTTCAGACAGAAAGCTGCCTGATTAATAAAATGGAGTGCATGTCTGAGAGGGGTTAGGAGGATTATGTAGCCTTTGGCAGCTGACACTCTCCGTGATTTTTTTCCACTTAAACAATAGAACCAGCTCATATTTCCACTTAACAGCTGCAGTTAACACACGGAAGGTTGTAGCTGTCAGTCGAAGTGCTTCAAACATTTTCTCTTTAAGGTTTTGTCACTTCAGGGACAAAAAAACCTGTCCAGTGGCTCTTTACGCTGTTTGTCTCCTTTGTTAATGCTGGCTGCTAGTGTTCCTTACTTATTAGCAGAGAAGGTAGATGATGAAGGTGATGATGGTCAGACCTGTGGAAGTTCAACCAACTAAGATTTTGCTGTGATGCTGCAGGATTGGAAACTCTTCTTGCCTTTGAACATTGAATCGTGGCCAGTTTAATGAGGTTGTTTGGACGAGTATATACAAAAAAAAGACTCTTTTGTGTTTAAATGACAACAGATATGTCAGTTAGTCAAAAATATAAAATGTAAAATAAGTGATTTACTTAAATAATTCAACACAAGCGCAGCCAGAGGAGTCATCAGTGTCTTGGTGGCCTCCCTCACTCGTCTCGTTCTTGTAATTCTGAAGGAGTTAGAGGTCACCAAGACACCTATCACTCCTCTGAGAGAGTCATAAGAAAGTCAGAAAAGTGAGGGAGGCCACCAAGACATGTAAAACTCTTCTGAAGTAGAAGTCACAGGTGTCTTGGTGGCCGACTTCACTCGTCTATTTCTTGCTTGGTCGCTCAGTTTTTGAAAACAACCTGCTCTGTGCAGATTTACACATCCTTCCATTTCTAAGTGTTGGGTATTTACTGGACTCGAAGGCATATATTCAGATAGATCTGCTTGCGGCGTTGTTTTGTCTTCATGGTGCAGCTCTATCCAGAAGCACTGATTCACCACTGAATGGACCTTCCAGATACAGGCGAAAACAATCACTTATTTTGCACTTTAAAGTCTTTTTTTGCAAATCCTTGTCAGTAAAGCCAAATTAAACTGACAATGATTCAGTGTTTGACTTCAAGGAAATCAACTTAAGGGGAAAACGTAGACGCCGTAGATGCACATTTAAGAAAACTTTTCGCTGTTTTTTTTTTTGTACTTCCATCAACAAACAGGCTAGTTTTACTTAAAGGTCTGGCGTGTAGGATTTAGTAGCATCTAGTGGTGAGGTTGTGCATTGCAACCACCTGAATACCTTCACAGTAAGTTCTTCAAATAAAGTATGTAGTAGAACCTGCATGCCGAGTTCTGAGATTATATAATCACAACAGGTTTGATTTTCAGGTGGTGTTGCACTAATAAAAACATGCGACTCTCATTAGCATTTGAAAGCAGCTACAGCTTGTATTCTTGTCTGACAGCATGAAAAGACTGAATATGCAGAAAGGACGCTCGTGTTTAAAAGCATTATTTATTTTAAGTTATGTTGCTTTTAGAGAATTTCACGTCTCTGTTTGAGTTTGGTTGTTTCTTGTTATTATTTATTTATTCCGGTAGCACTGCACTTTGTACGTCTGTTTAGGATGCCTCAGTTAAATAGAGAATAAAGGCGTGTTAGGATCATTCAGTGAACTGGTTATTGTCGGTCTGTAGGGGAAATAAAAAGCTCATATGGTTGGAAATGAATTGACCTGTTTTGTGTTTGTGACCATGGTTCTTCTTGAATTCAGTGTAAATCTGTTTGAAGAGAGGAGCGTACGATCTTTGAACACCCTGATCTAAAATGCCTTTATGTGGATGACTTAAAATAAAATAATGCAAACGAAAACATTATTTTGCCATCATCATCATCTACATGGTGATTTACTGTGTTGTGCATTTTTCATCAACCCTTTGATGTTTTTCTGAGTCGTAACTCTCAAGCTTAACGTCTCAGGCTTCAACCAACAATTATTTTAATCACTAATAATCAATAGATTGTTTTATTGATTACTTAATGAAACATCTACTCCATAAAACGTCAGAAAGTAAGTTTACAAAGTCCAAATATGACACCCTCAGACATCTGGTTTTTGTCTGAAATCAATTCAATTCAGTTCAATTTTATTTCTTACTATTTTATTTAATTACTTATCATAGTCAGGTGAAGTCCTTATGAATTTAAACAGAGAACCCAACAATCCAAAGTAGTCTTTGGACTCCCTCTGAGCAAGCAGTTAGAAATCAACTCCATAAAATTTATGTTTGATGTTTCATTCGTCCGTGAGTTTAAAGTTCCTTCCTTTAAGCTTTATTCTTTCTTTGTTTCTTTTCACGTCTTCTGGATTCCAAAAGAATCTTCTTGAGCTGCAACGATTAATCAGTCACTTTTCAACTGTTAAATTTATCTGCAATTATTTTGATATTTGATTGCTCAGTGTAAGTAATTTTTTAGGAAGATTCTGTGATTGCAGCTGCTTTTATATAATAATAATATAATAAGAAACTTTATTTGGCACTTTTTAAGAACACAATTTGCAAAGTGCTTTTACATAAAGAAAAAAACAACTTGTATAAAAAGTACAGGCAAGCACTCAAAATATAAAAATACACACAATAAAAATGAAAATGAACAGACGACAAAGAAGATACTGCACGTCTTATTTATGTGAATATTTATCTGGTTTCTCCGTGAAACCGAACGGAATTTCTTTGCGGACAAACTACATTTGTCACGTTGCGATCTGGAAACCACTGACATTTGTCACTGTTTTCCAAACAACTACTTGATTAATCTAGAAAATAAGAATAATCAACTTTAACAGTAATTATTAGTTGCAGCTTCTAAGTGATGTTTCTGTGGGAGAAGAAAGTCCTTAAATAAGCAGAACAGTTTGATTTTCCTGATGATCAAACGCTGTGAACGCAGTGATCTTGTGATCTTGTTCAGGCTAAAGTTGGCAACAAATAAAGAAAACAAATCTGAAATTAAAAACGCCGAGGGAAAGCAAAGACAATGCTTCAGGTCACTGTGGTTTCCCCCGCAGCATTAAAGATGCTTGTCATCGGTGACTTACTTCTGAAAAACTCGTCAGACTCGAGCAACCAGCATCAAAAATCGATGTCAACTGTAACTGTGACCTATTTCTATGAAGGAGGTGTCGTCTCTGCAGTTGTATTTAAGGTGTTTTTGTCGAGACAAGTGTTTCACAGCGTATTTAGTACTTAGAAGTTGTTTTTGTTTTGTGCTTGTGCTGGTTTCCAAATGAAAGTTTTGCAAGACAAAATCAGTCGGCGCTTCTGTGGTTCTTGCTGACTCAGCTTGTGGCTTCAGAACGCTGCTGCAGAATCAGAAGCTTCTGCTCAGCTTCTCCTGGAGCTCTGAGTCTTTTGAAGGTTGAATCGAGTTTAAGGGCTAATAAACCTTGTTAAACCTTTTTTTCAGTCAGCCGTCATTCATCAACTTTATGGCGTCCTGACACAAGCGTTAAATACCTATAGTTAGTTATCTGTTGTTTTTCTGTTCCAAACAAACAACAACAAAAAACGCAAACTAGGCGGATTATCAGTTATTCCTTTTTAAACCAACAAAGAAAAACAAAAAATTTTGGGTTTTCAACTTGGCCACTTTTCTGTTTTTCTATTTAGAACCAACACGAGCAAAACCAGCCCATATTTAATTTCAACCAACAATGTAAAAACAGAAAATGGGACCTTTTTTTGTGTCTTAACCAACGATAAAATAAACTGGAAAAGGGCCAATGTTCCTTTCTTTTTCCCCCATTTTAAACCAACAACAAACCAATGAGAAAACAGGCACAATCTTTGGTTTTCTGTTTTAAACCAACACCAGAGAAAACAGAAAATAGGCCAGTTTTCTCATGTCTGGTGCATAAATCAATCAAACCACAGTTTTATATTAGTGTTCTGATCAAATATTAATCAGTCTGTTTGTGTTTTTTGGTCATCATTAAAGATACAATTTTAGCGGCTGATTCATGAGAACGTTTAGTCACTTTCCATCAGGGGAACATACCACTGGAGCCATAATTATTTTACCCAGCCAGTCACATTACAATTAGCATGACAGATGTGCTGACAGTAGGTGTGTGAACAGCAGCTCCAATAAAATCACAAAACATGTAAACAGCAAACTTCCCACAGAATGCAAAAGCTGTTCTGTGACTTCATGACTCAGCTCATCATTTACAGCCTCTGTGTAAATTACTGGTGCTTCAAAATACTACTACTCATAAAAATAATAATCAGTGAGACACAGTACTTGTACTTATGTTTGATCGCTGCCATCTGGACCTGTCATCACTTATTATCAACTATCTGGTCTAACCAGCTCTGCAGTCATTTCCCAGAGCTGTGCCAAAATGACTTTGCACTTCTGCATACCTGCAGATATACCTGTAATTCTATCTATAAGTAACTGTCACACCCCCTTGCTGAGCTTTAGACTCTTACTGGCAGATCCAGTTTGCATGACAGACCTCAATGAGCGTTCCTGGAAAAAGAAATTATTCAGGGCCAACGGTAACGCCCATAAAATTCCCCTTAATTGTGACATGAAGCAATGCAGTATAATTGGTTCTGCTTCCAAGAAAAATCCTATTTAGATCAAATAAAAAAAAAAAGAAACTGGAGATTTTTGTTTATATGAACTAATTGTTGTGTTTTATCTCTCCGTAGTGATCACATATGGAATACGTTCGTACAGCAGGTAGAAAACTGAGGTCACCTGTGTGAAGGTTTCGGTTAATTTGTGGTAATAATACAGCACAGGTGACACATTAATGTTCTCAATGCCAGCATCACAATACATCACCCTGGAAGAAGCTCCAATCACGTTTAGTGTTCTCACTTACACCTGAGCGTTTCCTGCAACAAGAAGCCAAGAGTCTGCTGAGAACAACATTTATCAGGGCAAAATCGACACCACGAGGACAAAAGACGAATTCAAGTCAGTGGTTCACGTCATTTTTTTTTGTCTCCTAGATAAACATCCAGAATCACAGCATCCATCCGTTCAACTGATTTTAAAACCATTATTTCAACCGATCAATTACATGAAAGTGAAAGCATTTGGCTCCATTTGAAAGTAAAGAAGCTGAACATTTCCACTTTTTAACAGCCACTTAGTTAATTTTTTTTTATTCAATTATATGCTACTTTTTCTGATTTATTTTTCTGTATTTATTTACTAAAGTATAAGAAAATAATATTGAAAAAGCTGACATAATTCCCTATGTTAGCTAATACTGTGACAGTTTCAACCAGTTATTCATGCATTTTTCTATTTTAATCATTTATATATTAGCCTTCTTTTCGCTATTTCAAACATTTGTCTGTTGGCCTACTTTTAGCTAACCACGTCGACTGTTTAGCTGTCAGCCCACTTATATCGAGCTACATCCAATCAGAGGACGTGAAAGTACTGACGGTATCGTAGCCAACCTGGGACCATCGACTCAGAACATGATTGGTTAAAGCAACAGTTTCATTGCAATGAGTTTTAAGCTACAGGCGCCTGCACATTTGATTCTGAAGGCCTCAGGGCAGATTTCTTAGACAAGGTGATGAAATATGATTGGATACAAGCTCTAATATAAACACACTGCTGGAAGCACCACAGCCCGGAGACACACTATGAAATGAGGAGAATTGACTATGGGGAATAATGTACAAAGATTAATGGGAAAATATTACAACGTAAGTCAGTGATTCTGATGAGTTTAGGCCAGCAGAGAAGGCCTTGCTGGCCCTGACGGCACACCACTGCTTCAGTGTAATAGTTTAACTTGATCAAGGATCCAACACTGGTTCAGAAAATGACAGTCAGCAAGCTGTTAATCTGTGACCAACTTCCCCAGCAATGGATGGAGCTTCATGTGAACACAAACATTTTATTCAGTATAGTACAATGTTAACAGCGACACGGTTGGGGAGAAACCGTGGTTTAGACTTTGTTCTCCCTTCATTGGTGTACAGATATATGTCCATATCTCTTGGCACACGAGTGGCACATGATTCATTGATTCCGCAGCAGCTGCGCCCTGCAAAGAGAACCCTCCCACTAATATTTCCCGCTCTCTGGCTCTCAGTAGGGCTGCAAGGTGGCGCAGTTGGTTAGCATTGTTTCCCAAGAAAGCTAGAAACTGCAGGGTCTAAATGTCTTAAATAAACCTGGACTTCAGAAAATAAGTTTATAGACTTGAGAAGGGAAGGAGGTGAACGTGTATTTAACCAGATTATATTTGCACTCAGTTGGTTTGGTCAAGGGCTGCAAGGTGGCGCAGTTGGTAGCACTGTTGCCTCGCAGCAAGAAGGTTGCCGGTTCGCATCAGGGGGCACCGGAATCTTTCTGCGTGGAGTTGGCATGTTCTCCCTGTGCAGCGTGGGTTCTCTCCGGGTTCTCCAGCTTCCTCCCACACAGTCCAAAAACATGTTGAGTTTAATTGGTGATTCTAAATTGTCCATAGGTGTGAATGTGAGTGCGCTTGGTTGTCTGTCTCTAAGTGTAGCCCTGTGATAGACTGGTGACCTGTTCAGGGTGTCTCCTGCCTTCGGCCTGAGTCAGCTGGGATAGACTCCAGCCCCTCGCGACCCTAATGAGGATTAAGCGGTGTATAGATGATGGATGGATGGATCTCAGTACCAGGGTGACCAAACATCCTGTTATCCCAGACATGTCCTGCCCTGGCTGTCCTGGTTGTTTTTTTATAAAGTGATGAAAATTTCCTGGTCCTGTCGTGGAGGATGCATACGTTAAATGTATTGAAATGATAAGGCATCTTTGAGTAAACTTTGAGTATCATTTGAGTATCTTATTGCTGGGTCAAG